CCCATGCGGTCGTCGCAACGAGGCTATATATTTTGTATCCACATAAATCTAGAATATTGCCATGGTATATATATTTCGAAGTTGCAACTATTGATTAGTTTTAATTATATTTCTCATAAAAATGTATACACGCATCTAATTAGTGCACTTTCATTTTCACAGATTTATGTGCATAGTATTTATTGATGGACAACAATAAACAAAAATCGCCGTCTTCACCTGAAAAATCTACATTGTATGATGTATCTATTGGTAAGCTGCTAATGTGCCATCACGTATTATAAAACAATAAATTATAAATATTTATTTTGAAAGTGCAAATATATTTTTCATGTATTATATGCTTATTGTTTTATCTATGTGTTCAATGTTTTCTTTAAAAAACATTAATAAAAGAGATGAAAGGTCATGGCCACAGGATCACATTCACGATGGGATGTCTCCTGCAAATTTGTCTCAATTTAAGTAATTAAAAAGTGTTATTTATTTAATAATTCGATAGATCAAATAATTTTTTTTAAATTATGGATATATTAAACGTAACAAATTGTATGTATTTTATTATATAGTCATGTGTTCTCTTTTTTAAATTTTATTCGTTTACATTTATTGAAATCAGATAAACGAATTCCAAGTCAATCATTATTTTCAACCAAAAAAGTTATCATTGACAATAATTTTTTGTCCCCAAATTTTGTTGGACGTAAGTGTTGTTCCCGATAAATAAAACGGGTAGTGATTTAGTAAAATGATCAAATAAATTACTCGAAATACGAAAAGATTAGCCGAGGCGAGAAAACTCTTTCCTTAAGACAATATTGCCCCGCTACGGTGCTTACGGTTATTTGGCAAGTGTCTCCCAAGATACAACGGCTAACTCGGCATATGAGCACTCAAAATCCCGAGTACAACGAACGTTGCTTTGTGTCTCAAACTCTCGAATCGAATACGGAAGAAAATATTCTACGAAGAATATTTCTAAGCTAAAGAAGGAAGAATTCCATAGAACAAAATTATAGAATTGAATTTTTTTTTTTTTTTGTTAATATTAAATCAAACATGTGGAGTTTCTATTTATAAGTTTCCAATGGTTGTGATTAATGAACACAACCCTTAGAAAATTAAACAAGTGAAGAGGTGTGGCCACACCTCTTCATATTGTCACACCTATTTGATCAAATAGGTGCCTAAAAATATTTTTTTATTTTCATTCAAAAAATAATTTTATTTTATTAAATAAAATTCCCAACAATCCCCCACATGAATGAAATTAAAGAAAAACGATGGATTCGATCGAGAGTTCAAGTGGAAACTATTGCAATGGGGATAGGTAGCTTTTGGCTTTGAACCTTCCTTAGCGGTATACCATCGGATTTACTTGGCTAGTTAGTGAACGCGATGTCTTGAACTGCCAGCCGTTTGTGTAAACCAAGACAATGATATCCCACACAATAGTTTTCCCACATTTCATCTGTTCTCATGGTTGCGTCCATTTTGGCCCTGGAGCACATCTTGGATTTATAAGTGTTTGTCTTTTTGATGCGGCCCACACTTCTACACTTAGATAGGTGATGTCCTATTAAAGATATCCTACCAAAACCTCACCTTTTGTCAAGGTTTTGGAATCATTAAAAGTTTTCGCTTATCCTTTACCCTCTCTGCAGGCAGCACTAATGTCTATCACGGGAATGAGTTGGAAATATATAATTCCATAGGAATATATACTCCTTAGTGCATTACTGAATTTTCCATAACTTAGTTGTCCCTTTTGAACCAGTTCTTGGGATCTCCAGTCATCATGGTAGGGTTTCCACTATAGAAATTCTTAATTTGTGGGTTTTGATCTCACTCCCCTAGACAGGCAATATGTTTGATCTCTTTAGTTGAGTTTTAGTCGCGGATCCGCTATTAACCATTGATTTACATAATCAATGTTATGTTATTTATTTTGAGATCAATTGCCTAATGGTCTTATGTGTACGAGTGTGTCGATACTTGCCATTATACATGTCGTTTGTGCCCTTAACGTAACCGGTTGGTTATCACAATTTATTTATAATTGTAGACACCGACTTAGTCCAACACGGAACATCCTCCAATAGGTTTATGAAGTTTATTCAACTTCTTTTCTAACTTTATCTAAAGCTATATATTCGAATTCAACCATGAATCGAGATATTCATTTTTTTTTTGAGGATTTCCAAGATACATAATCTTAGTGGACTCATATATCCAATGTACTTTTCTAATACAATTGGATATTTTCTTTAATGTAATTCATTTAAAGGCGATACTTAGATTACCTAAGAACCCTTATAATATCATTGAATGATGATTTATTTTGGGATTTTATATAAAAATATACTGTCAAATTATCCAAAAATATTTGTAATTGAACCATTGTTCATCATTATTTTTGGCAAGGTAAAAACTTGGTGTTTAGATAACTAGATCAATTTTCTAGTAGTATCTCAACATGAGACTTTCAATAAGACTATCTTTGTCTTGGTGACTTCAATCTATAAGATTACATCGTCTAGACCCTCGTCTTTTGACATCAAACATAATTTTATTTTTATTTTCAATATTTTCTCAACGTTCAAAATAATATCATGATCATTATCTCATGATTATAATGTCGTCTATAGACATATACTTCCATGTTCTTTTAATATAAACACACTGGTCACACTCGTTATTACGAGAATTATTTGATAACACAATTTTATCAAATATTACTTTAGAAGGACTTAACGGATTCCAGTATCTTGTTATAAATAATCAAAAATTTCATAGCTACTAATTTAGCTTTATAGGACCATCTTTAATCATTATTTTGAATAGTCCATCTAAACCTTAATGGTTTACTACTTGGAAGAAGACAAACTAACTTTCACGTACATTCTTCAAATGTAGACAATATTTCAATAATTGTCTTTTGTTCATTTTATAACTCATAAGTTATAAAATCAAATCAAATCAAACATATTGATTTTATTTGCCATCTTGTTGTATCTTGGTTGTTCATCACTTTGATGATTTACCACTAACACATATTTTAACTTGGTTGTTCATCACTTCGATGATTTACCACTCACACATAGTTTAACTTAGTTGTTCATCACTTTGATGATTTACCACTCACACATATATTTTAACTTGGTTGTTCATCACTTTGATGATTTACCACTTACACATTTATAAGTTCTCTTATTTAGAACTTATTTATTTTCTTATTTTACAATAAACCACGATATAATCAATTTGCATCAAGAGTGACTACCTCTTACACAATCATTATAAATATATTCAATATTTATCCACTTGACTATACTAGGCCTTATATTAACTTAGATACTTTTTTACCTTGGCCTAAACACCCCCACATTTCTAAATATTAATGTGGTTACTGGTTAGGGCCTAAAGACCCTCACATTTCTAAATATTTATGTGGTTAGCTCGGAATATTTAATTTATGTGGTTAGACCCCCACATTTCTAAATATTAACGTGGTCAGCTCGGGATATCTAACTTCCCCCACAAATTCTAGAGTATGTATTCTAGAATTTATCAATATAATATCCATAAACTTTTTCCAAAAGTTTCAGTACTCATTTTTTAATTCATTTGTCAAAGTTGACATTTTTCAACTTTCATTCACATAGCATTTAAATGCTGTGAAATCCTTATTTTTATTTTATTAATGAGGATACACAATGTAAAAAAATACATTTCTTCTTTAGTTAGAGAAATGTATTGGATCACCAATATGATTTAATTACAAACACTTCAAGAAAATAGACTTTTAATAGCATATTGTTATAGCATTTTTGTATTAATTGCTGTAATAACCAATAAGAATAAAAAAAAACGCTATAATATTGTGGGCCGCCCAAATTTTATTTTGGTTAAGACTTTCAAATAGGAAATATTTTAACTACGGGGATAACCCCAATTCATTTAATTCAGTATTACAAATACAAACCCTTCAATTTATCTCTCTGTCGCCGACTCTCTCCGACCAGAATTTTTTTCCAACATTTTGTAGTCGTCGTCTCTCACTCCAAGGTCGACATGCCGACGCCATCTAGTCGGTTATTTCTCCTTTGCAAATTATCTCAATTTCAGTTTATTTGCTATATTGATTCGCCCACATAGATTGTTTATTCGATGACAGACATTGTTCAAATCTATTGTAGATTACGATTATGTAAATTCAATTAAGACTTTATATTTTAATTTTTGATTATATTTTTAATTTCGTTTTCTCCTCCTACCATTTGTTCATTCTTGTATGTAATTTTATAATTATATTGTTGTTTTATGGTAGAAATGGGGCATGTCATGAAAATTTCGAACAAGGAGTTTTTACAAGATATTATAGTGCGTAAATCATTGAATATATCCATACTTCAAGATTCAAAGACAATGAGTTCTTGGAAGTACTGCTTTGAAATATGGAAGACATGGAATAATGTCTGGTTTTTTTCCTCCTCTGTATTATCCTGCAAATATATGAACATAACTATTATGTATCCTTTTTTTTTTCCTGATTGCAGGAGAAGCTTTGTGATTTGATATTGAGGAATAAGATAGCAAGAAGATGGGGTTACAATGATGGCTAATAACGTACTCGCCTATGTTGAGGTTTTCCTTTCTCATACTTTTGCCGAATATTATATGATGTATTGTTACTGATTTTTTTTAAACATTTTTATGCCATATATCCATTTTTCAGTCTTCCATTAGATACATTGCTTAGATTAACATGGATATTGTTAGTGTTCGAGTCAGAATCTATGTTAACGGGTTTATAAGACATGATGAGTTTTGTATTGTTAAATGAGTTATATACTTGATGATTTATTTTCTATAACCTAATGTACATTACTTCAAATTTTGAAGATGCAGTTGTAGTTCTTCATATGAACATATTATGTTGGTTCTTAGATACAGTAAAGTGCAATGAAACTGTGAAACCGAAGGCATTGCAAGCTTTTATTCTTGAGTTCACGAAACTTATTATTTCCCTGTTTTTGAGTCTTGTCTTTGTATGAGAAATTAACACAATCTCTGTCTTCTAACTCCTTTTATTTTCTTTCTTTCATTTTCAGCTTCTAGTATCATTTGTAAAGAGTCATAAAAAGAAATACATGAAGGGATTCAATATGAGCTATATGTACAATTCTGTTTGATTCAATTTGACTGTCAAATCTCGTTTATGCTTCCCATCTCCATACAGAGAGTAGTATACTCTGTTTTGAGTTAAATATGTGCTTGAAATGGAATATGGAGATAGGCAATAAAGTATTTTAATAGGGGAAAAGTAATTTTAGTTTTTCTTTTATATTAACAAGTAAAATTTTTTTCTTATTCAATTCTGCAACAGGTCAAGGATGAGAAGATAGAATTGTTGTTGTAGATATGAATTCTTCCTTGAATTGCACACCTTTTTTTGTTTTTCTTTTTGTTAAGACATTGTATACATCTATTTTTCTAGTCAATATAGTATGAATACTGAATAATGGAAGATAGTTCTTGTATTGTTTCATGAATTTGGTTCAGTTTGTAATGATGATTATTTATTTTTTTATCATTACGAAATATTGTGTTTAATTGTTTCTTTTATGAAGTTTATTTGTTCTTTTTAATTGCACAATATTGAAATATTGAAAAAAATAAATAGTATAAAACTACTACAATTGCATTTTGTAAATGCTATCAATTAAAAGATGATAACATTTAATTAATGTTATCTTTAACAATTCAGTAGCGTTCGTAAAGTGCTATAGTAGATTAATAATGGCTTGGAAAACGCTATTGTACCCATATAATAGCGTTTTATATCTATTGTAAAAATAAATACGATAGCATCTTACAAAACGCTATGTGAAATACAAGATATAATAGCGTTTGAAAAACACTATAAAAGAACTGACACCTATTATAGCTCCGGCAGACATAGCGTTTGTAAAAACGCTATGAAATCCTATAATAGCGTTTTTCAAACGCTATGGATAACGATTTTTGTTGTAGTGAAATAATTGTATTTCTTTCTCTCAAGAAAGCACAAAAGGAGAAAACTTCTCAAGATACTTAAATCTTGTCAACAAATAAGATAAGAAGTTCTCTTTCTTTTCCTCAAAAAGAGAAAACTCGTCAATATACTTAAATCTTGTCAATAAACAAGAGAATATTAATCTCTCCAAATGGTGGTTGATCTCCACTATTCATTATTAAAAGTAGAATATACAAATTCTAATCTTAATCGTTCATAATTTAGGATTGTATGTCCTAAACATGTCATTCAAAATTCAGCCAAATCCAACGATTTAATTCTACAAACCGAGCTCTTAAGTAAACAGCTCGAATTTTCTTTCAACAAAACATACATTGTTGTTTAAAACTATTTCGGATGTTTGAAAATCAAAATCCGATCTCATCCATTCACATTGTAGATTATCATCTTGCAAATGTGATATCAAATCAAATCGAACCAACGATTCGATCTTCTTTTATGTTCTTGAGACAAGAATTACTCATGTGCTCTCATGAATTGAGCTTCTCTTTCTTTCTATTTCATTTCAATCATGCTTTTAATTGTACTGTAGTATGATTCATATATAAAACATATGTACATCAATATTATAATAAACATAATATGTGACCACGACTTTCATACTAGTTAATCATAGAAAGAAACAATACTAGTTGATCATAGACATAAACAATAGATCAAGCATACTTTATCAACATATACATAGTATACGCACATGAGTACATAATAACATCATGTTTGGATATTATTTTATGGAATAAATTAATTTATGTCCAACATAGTTGATTTATATAAACATATAACACGTAATCAATATGTTTCCAAGCAATTAGAAAATTCTAAGGAATTGGTATGGCTTACGGAAATAATAATATGTATAATAATATTCCTCTTACTAAGTAACTCATACTTAATATACGATACAAGTCTAATCATTCATAGACAATAACAAAAACGTTAATAAGATCATGTACTCACAAATTTCATATAACATATTCGAAAATCAATCAATTGGACGGTTCCACATCAAATGAAAATTGGGAGAAAGTTAATCCCGTATCAAAACTATATGCAATTTATGAAAACAAATATTGCATTTTCATGAGAAACGTCATGCGGTTTATGATAAACTTATTCAAATAATTAACACATACCATATCACTTTATTGCATTTAGGATAAAATTATTTATATCATTAATGTAGATACACAAACATAATGAATATTCATTAAGCATATATATTGTATATAGTTTACCATGCTTCCACATATGAAAATTAAACTATCATGCAATAATCCACCATTATATCATATAGCATTATCAATATATTTCACAAATATATATCTTATAATTAAAAAGCGTACCCGATAAATTATATGTTCGTCAATTCAAAATTTTGTGGGTAGCACCAAACCGTGTCAATATTATGACAGTGCTGAATGATTTATTCATATATCTTCCGTCCGAAGTCCGATTTTGTTGATTCAATATGATCCGAATAGCCAACAAATTTTTCTACAACTTTTATCTTTTACGTTTTCTGATATTCGGACTGGATCATGATCAAAATAAGCCTCGAAGTCGGAGTAGGTGTGCTGTAAATTTGCACCTACAATGGAACCAGAAAAAATATTAAATAATATTCATGAATCGAAAATAATATAAAACCTCATTATTGATCTTTGATTCAGTCTTCTTTCACCAACATTTCGTGCATTGGACATTGGTGAGGCGTTAATATGCGACAAGTTGCATTGGTCACGAACGGTTGTATTTTTCATGAAAATGTGCATTGGCAGTTCTGGCACCCTTTCGTATTTTTATCATAACTCCTCCATACGATCTCCGATTGGGACGATTTAATATGTTCTGGAAAGCCAACTTGATTATCTACAACTTCTGTGAAATGTTAATTTTCCATATTCGGACTTTAACAGCTTCGAAAATGCGAAACAACGTGGACTTCATGTTCTGTCCGAAAATGAACTTTTTCCTCCTATTTGATTTTGTAACTTCTTGATTTTTGGCAGACTATCTTCTTTTCCATCCCGTTTACCAACGTGTGCAGAAAACACAATTTACTAAATCTCACAAAGATATTGTCTTAAGATTGTTGTTCCCGATACATAAAACGGGTAGTGATTTAGTAAAATGATCAAATAAATTAGTCGAAATACGAAAAGATTAGCCGAGGCGAGAAAACTCTTTCCTTGAGATAATATTGTCACGCTACGGTGCTTACGGTTATTTGGCAAGTGTCTCCCAAGATACAACGGCTAACTCGGCATATGAGCACTCAAAATCCCGAGTACAACGAACGTTACTTTGTGTCTCAAACTCTCGAATCGAATACGGAAGAAAATATTCTACGAAGAATATTTCCGGGCTAAAGAAGGAAGAATTCCATAGAACAAAATTATAGAATTGAATTGTTTTTTTTTTTTGTTAATATTAAATCAAACATGTGGAGTTTGTATTTATAAGTTTCCAATGGTTGTGATTAATGAACACAACCCTTAGAAAATTAAACAAGTGAAGAGGTGTGGCCACACCTCTTCATATTGTCACACCTATTTGATCAAATAGGTGCCTAAAAATATTTTTTTATTTTCATTCAAAAAAATAATTTTATTTTATTAAATAAAATTCCCAACAGTAAGTATTATATATTTGTCATATCATGTATATGTATATCTTGCAGATCTAACAGTATACTAAAAGACATTATAACCATTAACCAATCACAGGTTTTTCAAAATTGTACCCATTGTCTGTCGACGAAATTGATATGAAAGAGAACCACTGTCCGAGAAACATGTTTGTCAATGGTACGCCTATTAAAAATATATATATATATATATATATATATATATATATATATATATATATATATATATATATATATATATATATATATATATATATATATATATATATATATATATATTGTAGTTAATCCATGGTTAGTGCTAATATTTATTATCGTATACGCTATATTGTATTATTCATCGATATAAATATGTAGGTTATCTTGACAAAAGAAAGGGCAAAAAAGTTATGATTGAACGAGTTGCAAGCAAAAGAGGTAAATGATTCATTACTGGACAAAAGAAATTGCTCGGTAACGGTTTCTAGGGAATGGATTTTGACCGAACTCGTGATAATTGCGTTCTAACCTACATATCCAATGGTAAGTTATTTAACTATATAAAGATAACGCGTATGTTATTAATATATTTTACATGGTGCGCACGTATAAATTTTATTGAGCGATCTTAATCCATATTTACATATTCTTCATGTTATAATTAGTAAAATATTTTTGGAATATAAGTATTAATAACTAATTATTTATAATTTTATATGAGGAATTTAATATATAAATTTCACGTGTACCTCATAGTTTAGGGAAGTCGGCACTCATCTTTGGAACATGTTGCAAAAGAAAAGGCCAAAGGTATTATTCACACACAAAATTGCTAGGATCTTTCAATTGGAATGAACGTGGACTAAACTCCATCGAGTTTCGTCACAACCAATCGTTCTATTGGTTAGTTACTAAATTCAACTTAAAATAATAATAATAGTAATGGGCAAATTAGCAAGACCCCCTCTTGTGGAAAAATTATGTGAGGTAGACACCACTCAAAATAAATAATTTGAGAGAACCCCTTTAGCTATTAGCTTGGATATTTAATACCAATAAACTACTAATTATACCTTTAATGATTTATATTTTCTTTAACCCTAATATCTCACATATTTTCTCTTCACTGCCGCTTCTCTCTTCTTGCGCAGCTTCTATGTTCTTTTTTTCTTCTGTCTCTATTTTCTTCTTCTCTCTTCTTTCTCTCTCTTTACGGTATTAGATCAAGGGTTCGGTTGCGCATTGGATCGACGGCGCATCCCGCAGTGGCGGCAGCCGCACCAACTCCAGCACCCACAACCACCGTCACACCGCCAGCATCATCTCCGACATCCAGCGCCTCTTGTCCTCCAGCTCCAACCACTTCCCATGCTGAGGCATACGCATCCACTAATACTCTTCCGTCATCCATCCCTCGCTGCAGCAACTAAAGATGGAAAAAGCAATTTATCACTCGGACCGAAAATGTTGCTAGGTCGAATACAACAAGTTAGGAGTCCATTCGTACCCCTATGGATTCTGCAATACAGATCTATAATAAATAATGTTAATCTCTTGAACTGAGTCTGGATTCCTTCGTGATTATGAGGTAATTTTACTGCTATTAATTTCGGTAATAAGTTATTTTGCTTGTAATAAATTTCTTTTTAATTTTTAGATTGGTTTATTCTCATAATCAACCATATTTTCAGTAGTTGATTAATGTATTTTTTGAATTGTAGGTGGTGAACTTTTACCCATTTTGCTGCCATTTTTTGCATATGCGGTTGTTAGTGGTGGACTTTTTGATTGTTTTTTAGTCCCTTTTGGTGAACTTCTGTAAAACAAAATGGATAGATCAACTACGACTTTTATTTGATTTCTTTGCAAAAATAGTTGGTTCCGCTATTTTTTGTAGTTGTTTTTATTATTTTTGTGATAATTTTGCTAGTGTTTGGGTTATGTTGTTGAATCGTGTTGGTGTCATTGCCGGCAATATGGTTGTCTTTGTTACTTTTGAAATTGATTTCATTAATCGACTATGCTTCATAGTAGATTTCCTTAATCGACTATGTTCAGTAGTCAATTATGGCTTAATCGACTACGTTCAGTAGTTTAGCGGTTGATTAAGGCTTAATCGATTATGTTCAGTAGTCGATTAAGATTAATCGATTCCAATGTTTTTTTTTTGGACTTTTTATTTATTGATTCCAATCGTATAAATCAATTATAATGTTTGTATATTTTTTATTTTTTGTAAAATATAGTTGATTTGGCATTTTGTTTTATTGTAATTGTGATTTTTTATTTTTAGTATTCAGATTCATAATCGACTGTGCTTATTAATATACCTAATAGAGAAAAAAAATTAAAAATGAAAATAAAAAAAAATTAAAGAAGTTCCTTAATCGACTATGCTTCATAGTCCATTAATAAAACTGATTCGGGGAAAAAAAAAACTAAAAAAAACGAAGAAAAAAACGGCTGATGACTAGCGCGTGACGCAATGATGATGTGCGGGCGAGGGCAAAATTTGAAAAAATAATAACTGGAAATGGGTGTAGGCATTTCTCAAATGGAACAAAATATTTTGGGCATCTCCCCACTAAAAGAAGTAATGAAGGGGTTTTCTCAAAGAGCCCCTAAAATAATAATGTCACAAATTGGTCAAACATATATGGTTTTTTTTAATGTAATGATTTCGTATACGTAATAACTAACTATATATTATCCTCTCAATGTCTTTCAACAAATGCTAGCAAAACTGTACGGAAAAAGTCATTTCTGACGTATACAGGAAAATTGAAAACAAAGAAGAAAGGTATTATATCAAGTGATTCTTTTATAATAAAAAAAACGATCGAAATTAACTAAATGGAAACTAATTGTGGTGCCGATATTATATTATATTCAAAGTGTTATCTTTGTACAATTATGGTTACATAATTATAAATTAATTAATTAATTTCAAAATAAAAAGGCTATTTTGTTCTTACTATAAATGTCGTTGAGTACTATCACAATGGTGCATCTGCATCACGTGAATATCCATTTCAAGTTAAAAAATCCTATTATGACTCAAATAAAAGGCACGATCTTATTTTCTTGGAGTAGTTTTATGTCTTAATTGAAATGATTTAGTGTGCAATACATGTAATTAATATACCAGTTATTTGCGTAATAATACTTTATGATCTATACTATAAGTTGTTCCGCACCGACTGGAAAGAAGTTGTCAAGGAGTCAGGAAATAATAGACTATGTAGCACGTGGGTTGGATATGGAATCAATACCAGCTATGTTGGTAGATGAGGATTTACAGACGTTAAGAGACATTTCTCACGTAGGGAGTAAATATCTCTGTCATTGTGACAAAATTTATCTCATTATTATGCATCATTTGTCAATATAATGTTGTGCTATAATGATAAATTTTGTTTTTGCATGTACATTCTAAATATATCTCCAACGATGAGAATGGTGACGATGCAATTGATGATATTGGGAAATTTTATGTTAATCTTTCAACTTTTAATCTTTACATTACCAATTATATAGATTCATTACATCTATATTTTTTTTATATCATAGTTATTATTTAAATAATTTTGGATAGATTATGAAGATCTTGGAGACCAGACGCATGAATGTTCTTTTTGCAGTGCAATGATGTGGTACGGTGAAAGGACTGACAAGCACAAACCAACATCAATTCCCAAGTTTGGCCTCTGTTGTATGTCTGGAAAAGTCCAGCTCCCATAAATGATAGATGCACCTATTGCACTTAAAAGTTTAGTGTTTGGAACTGATCGAAGGAGCAAACATTTTTAAGAGCACGTACGATCGTACAATATGACATTTTCTTTCTCCTCACTTGGTGGAAACGTACATAATCTATTATTAATGGAGTTGGTTCGTACACATTTCTATTACACGACCAAAATTACCATGTATTGTGCAGTTTATTGCCAGAGGCAGGCACGAGGCCTAAGTTTGCTCAGCTTTACATTTTTGACAAAGAGAATGAAATTCAAAATAAAATTGATGCCGTTAGGTAAAATGCTGCGGCTTATATTCCTTAGTTTTTGTATGGCAGGTCTGGAAACAACTTTAACAATCTTGACCCATATAATGTGGCATCGTTGAGAGATATAATTGATGGTAACAATGTACTTGCACAGTCGTACCGAGCTGTTCGAGATCGGTTTTCCAATGATGGCCATAAATGAGTAAAACTCCGACTAGTAAAAAGCCACAGTACTGATGGCAGGACATACAATCTTCCAAACGCTAATGAAATAGCAGGCTTGATTGTTGGGGACTTTGAACACAAGAGGGTGTTATGGACATTCTCGTTGAGACATGCTTGAATAAGCTTCAACGAATAAGTGAGCTCCATCCTCTTTACCTGCCTCTACATTATCCTATTTTATTTTCTTACGGGAAAGATGGTTATCGAGACGATATCAGTTTGAGAGAATCTCCGCTTGCTGATAATACAAAAAGGAGGAAGTTAAGCATGCGAGAGTTCTTTGCACACCTAATCCATAAACTAAGTAGAGAAAATTCACTATTTTTGCATGCTAAGATGTTATTTCAACAGTTTTGTGTCGATGGATGTTCGTTGGTTGAGTCATAGATGTTGAATTTCATAAGGTTCAATTAGGATCAACTTAGGGTTGACATGTGCAAGGGTGTCGAAGACAAAACTTTTAAAGAAGACACTGAGGGTAAATCGGTTGGAAAATGTATTATAATTCAAGGGTCGTTCACCGTAGGTCCAAGATATATGTTTAACAACTTCGTTGATGCTATTCAAATGTGTAATTGGATTGGATTTCCAACTCTCTTCATTACAATCACATGCAATCATCAATGACCTGAAATACAACGGGTGTTGAAAGATACAAATCTCAGGCCGGAGGATCGTCCAGACCTTCTATGTGGTGTGTTCAAGATGAAACTCGATATTATGATGACAGAAATCAAGAAGGTCGTATATTCGGACATATTAGAGCATGTAAGTATTTAATTAGATCTTATTTTAAAATTATACATTTATTATATTCATAAGAATTAGGATTTCATATGTGCATTTAACGATTTATTACATCATTCACTAAATTAATGCATATTGTTTAACACCATCTCTTTATATTTTCTTTACAGACGTATGCACTATTGAATTTCAGAAACGCGGTCTACCGCATGAACATATTTTGTTGTGGTTAAATAATGACGACAAACCGAAGAACCCAGAATATATTGACCGGATCATATGTGCTGAAATTCCTGACGAAGAAACCGACAGAAAGATATACCAGTTGGTGGAGAACTATTTGATACATGGGCCGTTTGGTCAAACGAATTTGAAATCTCCATGTAGGAAGGATTGAGTTTGCATGAAGCGATTTTCAAAGCCATTTGTGCAGCGCACTGAGTGAGATGCAGATGGTTATACTGTTTACAAGAGAAGGGAATATGGCATAATAGTTACGAAGAAGAAGACTACTCTTGACAATGGGTTTCTAGTTCGTACAATCGATATCGTGTATTGCTGAGTAAATACAAATCTCACATTAATATCAAGCTACTCAACCAAAACAAGTCCATCAAATACATGTTCAAGTACGTCAACAAGGGCCAGGATCGTGTTACGGCGGAATTTTATGAAACACGCAATACAGATGGCGATGCTGAGATTCGTGACGAGATAAAGATGTACTATGATTGCAGATATCTTTCGGCATGTGAGGCCATGTGGAGGTTGTTTACTTATGATATTCATTACAGAGACCCATCCGAAATTAGGCTAAGCTTTCATCTGCCCGATCATCAGCCTCTGGTCTTCAATGAAAACTTGTCCTTATAAAGTATTCTGGATAGTCCATCTGCCAAGAAAATGATGTACCTAGAATTGTTTGAGGATAGTGAGAACTATCCACATGCTAGAGAATTGAGGAACGAATATTTTCCACATCAGTTTGTGTATAAGGAGGATTCCCGCACTTGGGCGCGAAGAAAAAAAATGATTTTCTATTGGAAAGATTGAGAATGTCCCCCGGAAAGGGGGAAGACAATTACCGTAGGTTTCTATTTAACATTCAGAAGGGCGGCATGTGTTACGAGGACATAAGAAAAGTTGCTGACACCTTGTACCCTACGTTGAATGATGCGTGTTATGTGTTGGGTCTGTTAGAGGATGACAAAGAGTACATAGATGTGATCAGAGAAGTTAATATGTGGGCATCTGGGATTACATAAGAATGTTATTCGCGGTTATGATGTAGTCCAATAGCTTAAGCAGCCCCAGATATGAATGGCAAAGTTGTTGGGGGTGATTTGGCGGAGGGTATTGCTTAAAAATAACAACGGCTTCATAATAATCGAGGTATTGCAATTTTTTTAGCACATTATTCAATTAGATTTTAAATATTACTCATTTTTTTTCTCTTTAAGTTTTGAACGAAATGCACATATTGTATCCATATTGTTTCTAGATTTATGTATATCGGATGAAAGCTTGATGAACTATACTCTTACCGAAATGGAAAAAAATATTGCACACCAATGGCACGAGTCTACGTAATTACGCGCCCAAGCCAGTTCCAATCGAATCTATGGTGGAAGACACAATAAACATATTGGTGTTAGATGAACTGGATTACGACCGGTTTGAAATGGGTCGAGAACTTCAACGGTCTCTAGCTTCCATTACAGACGAGCAAAGAAAAGTTTATGATGTAGTCATGGATGTTGTATCCAAGGATTGTGGTGGAATGTTCTTTCTATATGGACATGGAGGAATGGGAAAGACGTTTTCTTTGGAAAACTCTTTCGGCTGTAGTCCGTTCCAAGGGAGAGATTGTAATTAATGTTGCATCGAGTGGTATAGCATCGCTATTGCTCCCCGGTGGAAGAATAACTCCATTCTCGATTTGGACTACCCATAAATGTACACGGGACTTCCACCTGTAGCATATCGCAACAAAATCCAGAGGCGGAGTTTCTTAATAAGGCAAATCTAATTATATGGGACGAGACATCTATGATGCATGGATACTATTTTAAAGAGCTTGAAAAGACAATGGAGTCAATATTACATATAGACAAACCGTTTGGTGATAAGATGGTTGTTCTTGGAGGAGCTTTTAGGCAGATTTTACCAGTTGTACTGAAAGCATCAAGGCAGGATATAGTACATGCTATGATCAACTGCTCTTTGTTGTGGAATTTTGTCGTGTCATGAAGTTGAATAAGAAAATGAGATTGCAGTCATGGTCTTCTCACTCTAACTTGGATGAGGAAAGAAAATTTGGAGACTGGATATTGAAGGTTGGTAATGGAGATGTTTGGGAAAAAATGATGGTGAAGCTTCGCTAGAGTTTCCTGAGGACATGCTGATTGGTGATTCGGAATATCCATTCAAAGACCTATTGAACTTCATTTATCTGGATATCTTGAGTAACACATTGTTGAGTGTAAATTTTACACTCAATAGGTTTACTTTACGTGGATCTTTTATTTAGATTTAATTATATTTGTGCTTAATTGATAGATTTTTTGTTTTACAGGTGACAAGCGAGAATTAAGTGTCCATGAAGAAAAAATGATCAAAAAGAAAGGAAAAAATTGCAAATAAGGAAATAGATAAAAATTGGAAGAAAGAATCTCGTAACAGTTTTGGAAGTGTCCACTATTTCGAGCATATATCTCTCATACGAACTCCAAATCACATGATTCTAGCGGCATCCGAAAGCTAACTTAAAGGGCTACAATTTTTATTTCATGTAACATTCCAAAAGTCACACTCCAACATGGTCAAAATCGGATTTAAAACCGATCAAAGTGTAGACAAAAGCTTTGAACGACCGTCCTAAATTTTGTACTAAAATCTGGGACGGCCGTCCCGTGATGCGAAGCTGGACAGTTAACTGCGAGAATTGAGACGGTCGTCCCAAAATGGTCGGAACACTCAGACGCCCGTCCGAGACCCCGATTCTGCACAGTTTGGAAGTTTTAATTGCACAAGTAAGGTCTTTCCTTTTAATCAAGTCTTAACCACTATATAAACACACCACAAAACGCGAAGAACGAAGATTGAACACTCAACCATAGTTTTTCTTATTTCTTTTATTAATTCTATTTTGCTTATCATAAGAATAACGAGTAGCTATGTCTTTAGTTTCTATGATTTCATTTGAAACCCTATGTGGGATTCATGAACCCTTTTTTATTATTTTATGCAAGTTTTAATTCCGCATTATTTTTTCTACTTTTTTAACTAAGTGCATGAAACCGGCCACTTTATCTGCTCTATTGTTATTGTTGAATGCATAAATAGGAAGATCGGTTTAACAATTAGAACTACGGTAGAAGAGCATTTGTTGTATTAACGTGAGAATATAGTTAATCTCTTAAGTAGCCATTATTGAGATTTGTGCTTCATGCGGTGTTCTAGATTTAATTGCATAGGAATACAGTAATTCAATCTTGAATTTTAGAATCATAATATACGCGGAAGTGGGTTATGATTAATTTAGTATCTCAGGTTATTAATCCCAGTTAATTACTTGCATGATTGAAGGAATTGGGGAATTAATAATCACATAGGGGAAAGTTAAAATCATAGGCCTGTTTAATATGATAAGTCTCTGTTTTTATTTTCTTTCGTGCTTTTTCCTGTTTAATTAGCTTTAATTTAATTTAGGATAGTTGATCATCTTTCGACTGTGTAGGGTAGGCTTGATCATAATTGGTTGGATCTAGCGATTTGAATTAGATAATTAATATTATCTGTGGGATCGAAATGGACTTTTCTCCACTATATTACTTGTTCGATATATACACTTGCGTATCGGTATTTCCACGAACAAGGTTTTGGCGCTGTTGTCGAGGAATATAATCAACTGTCTTTTATTCTGACTCTAGATTTGAACACATCTCTCGATTCACCGAAATTAATTTTTGTGTTTATTTTTGTTTTCATTTTTATTTTATTTAAATTTTTCTCTTTTATTACATGTCAGGTTACAATTTTCGCGCACCTCAAACGGGATATGATCGAATGGCTTCCGTCTGGCGAATACATCCAAAACACATATGACATGCCCCTATTTTGTTCAAAATGTGGTGGCAATCATCACACTAACCAATGTTGGGAAGCACCAAAGGCGAATAATTTCATCGATAATTCCAACAGAGGTTATTGGAACACATACACCGACACGTACGAGCAGAGCATTCCGAGCCAATCTTTCAACGATTTTCAACATCTAGAGCTGCAATTTGATGATTTTCATACCTATTATGCAAGGCCACGAGAACCCACTATTAAGGAGCTTTATTTGAAATCCATGCTTGAAGAATTCATGAAATCCACTTAAGCATCAATCCAAAAACTGGAGATACAATTGGAAGAGATCGAGTTCCGGAGGTCTCTTGAAAATATTCCAGACAATATGAAAAATGGTTGTAGCAAAGAAAATCCGTGTGAAGCTTGTAGTGAGAAAAATATTTTATACTTACGAATACGCTTAAGCAGGATGAATCTAAGAATGCAATCGAGCTGAACTCCAAAGATGTCTCAGAACAAGAGGAGAGATGGATGTGGTTAGTGGAAATATTCAAATTGAAGATCTTATCGTTATTCCTGATGTGGCTTTGAAGGCATCAATAGAGGTTGATGAGAAGACGAATGCGTTTGAGGCGGAGATTATACACAAACTTGAGGTTTTTGTGTACCGATTTCAGGGGCGGCTGTTGAACAACCCATCTTGGCTTCGTACCGATTGATTACCAAAAAAAAAAAAAAGTACAAGCTAAGGTGGACCCTGACATATTTCAATGCTATACATGCCTTGGTTGCAATTGAAGTGATAGTGCTCATAGATGGATGCATAATCTACAAGGCTTTGGATTGGGCATAACAATTTTAAGAAGCAAAGTTTGGTTGAAGACTTAAAATTTAGCGCTTCTTATGAGGCAATCCGAGCATTTATTGTTTTATTTTCGCATTTCTAGTTGTTTTTATTTTTCTTAGAATTGTTATAAGTTTGCAATCTAATAATTTAATCATGTTTGAATTTTCAGGTCGAAAAACGCACACTAAAAGACCAGACAGCCGTCCGAAATAACTCATGGAAAAAAAATTAATTTCTTGAAAGAGGAAATATGGAGGAATGCAACCCGGGGAGGACGTTCGACTAATCCATGGGTATTCTATCCTAAAACTTCATTCTAATTACGTCGAGGACAATGTAAACTTAAGTTTGGGGGTGGAACAAGACACTTTCTATGTGTTTTATATGGTTTAGATTGCATGCCTTAGGATTTTCTTTCCTTTTTAGTTGTTTTCGGTTATTTATTGTTTTCTTAAAAAAAATGTTTTAGTTGAATGCATCAATGAATTGTGATGATGAATGATGGCCAATGTTTGATGATGAAATTACTTGCATTGTTGTAGGTATACTTGAATTTTGGTGAGCTTTCGATTTAAAGTAATTTGAAAGTGAGTCATTGTTGATAATCATGAATTATGTGTTGCTTTTGTTGAAATTTTTTATTTTTTAAACGTGGAGTTAATTTATGCCATATCATATGATGTTCGGTTTTTAAACTCACCTTAGGAAATTGCAAAGTGAAATATTGAGTCGTTGAGTGATTTGGGATGTGAGTTGGGCCTTCTTTGAACCGTTTGAGCCTTTCAATCCTACCTTTAACATATTTATCATTAGAACCTTGATTGTGGCTTGTAGAAATGGAGTTCTTTCTTTTAGCTAAAGTAAAGTGGGTAGATTAGATGGAGGTTTCTTGATAAATTATCCCTTGGAGCTTGGTTGGAAAATTTGTTACATTTTTCCTCTTCTAAAAAAGAATGAAAAGGAAAAGAATTAAAGAAGAAGAAAAAGAAAAAGAAAGAAGAAGAAAAAGAGAACTAGAAGGGAAAAGGAGGACATGCGCAAATATTCAAATAAGAACTCGAATCATACCTCATTAGCAAAAGTGGAGACTTTTAAACTCTTGAGAATGGAGTAGGGTAATAAGTCCTTAGAGGTGAAACAATAATTCAAAAGGCCAAATCTACAAATCTCAGCGAAAACATCTCGAGTTCAAGAAAAACAAATATAAGCATCTTGCTTAGTGAAACTCTTCATTATTATTCAATAATGAGAAGATCGAGAGAAGAAGAGTAGCCACTTATACTCATATTTCCTACCTTGTACCAAAGAGCCCAACAATTGAAAGTCAAAAAGTCTCAATGACCCCAATAGCTCAATTATTCGATATTAGCGAAGTAGAGAAATTCGGTGGGTCTTTGGAGTCGAATATTATTATGTAAGTATATATTTTCTCTATTTTTAGATTACAAATATTGGATGCTTGAAGCGACAACATAATTTTTGGTACTTGGCAATGGTAAGAAATTAAGTATCTTTAAATTTTAAGCTTGTAAATTTTCGAGACATGATAATTGGAAGTTCTGAAAACGTGAAGTTGACCATATTAATCTATGTGATGAGATGCATTTATTATTTCGTTACTTTGCAAGTTGCTAGATATTGCTTGAGGACAAGCAAAAGTTCAAGTTTGGGGGTATGCAGAGTGTAAATTTTACACCCAATATGTTTACTTTACGTGGATCTTTTGTTTAGATTTAATTATATTTGTGCTTAATTGATAGATTTTGTGCTTTATGGGTGAAAAACGAGAATTCAATGTCCGTGAAGGAAAAAGAATAAAAAAAAGAAAAAGGAAAAAGTCCATAAGGAAATAAATCAAATTCAAAGAAAGAATCTCGTAACAGTTTTGGCAGTGTCCACTATTTCGAGCATATATCTCTTATTCTAACTCCAAATCACCTGATTCTAGCTTCTTTGGAAAGCTAACTTAAAGGGCTACAATTCTTATTTCACGTAACATTCCACAATTCAGACTCCAAACAGTCAAAATTGGATTTCAAACCGACTAAAGTGCAGACAAAAGCTTCGGACGGCCGTCCCAATTGTGTACTAAAATCTTGGACGGGCGTCTCGTGATGTGAAGCTTGATAGTAAACTACGAGAATTGAGACGGCCGTCCCAAAAATGGTCTGAAACTCAGACTGCCGTCCGAGACCCCGATTCTGCATAGTTTGGAAGTTTTAATTGCACAAGGAGGCTCTTTCCTTTTGATCAAGTCTTAACCACTATATAACACAATTCAATGGGATCCAAGCACGAAAATTGAACACCACAAAACGCGAAGAAC